CATTATTGTTGTTGATTATATTTGCTAGAGTCGAGTTTTCTTTAGTATTTGCATATATCATATAAGTAATAAAATAGTTTATTGTCAGTGATCTTTGAATAGTAATTCTAGTTAAATGGACGTGATCTAAGAGTTTATTAATCTTGAATTGTATCAAACAATTGCGATTTTGTCTGTGTGATTGCAGATGAAATGAATACAGATATGTCAAGCAATGCAGCCAGATCTGATAGTTTCGTCGACCTTTCCACTTCTGATGATGAAAAGGCATGTTTTCAATCCAAGAACATTTTCCAATTTCTTTTTATCTCAGGTAAATTTTCGTTTTTGCATCTCAAGGTCATGATCTCCTTTTAATTATTTCAAGTTTTCATTGAATAGGGATGATTCGTAGAAATGTATTAGACATGAATGTTCGTTCGGAAAGTAGTGATGTTTTTACAAATTTATGAGCAAAATGTGGTAAGCATAAAGAGAACAGTTCTTTGTATGACTGCTAATCTGTAAAATTGTTTGCTAGTAAATTAAAATTGGTTTAAGGTAATGAGTCATTTTGAAGATGGTGTATGCAGTTCCGGGTCTGAAAATTCTGATGCTGCCACATGCAACTTTTATGGTAATTTTATTGACATCTTAGATGACGTACCTACATCGGAACCGTTATTTGACTTCGATAATGAAAGTAAAAAAGTTAGGTTTTATTCTGGTTGGTTTTCTGTTTTTTAGGTGAGTAAATTTTATTTACGATCTTGTTACTTTAGTAAACTTGTTAAAAGTTTTTATTATATTTTAGTATTTTTCATTGTCTATGATTAGGTTTTAAACTTTTAACTTTTTAGTTTAATAAAAATTATTTTTTTTTTTTACAAAATTAAAAATATTTTTTTTTGGTATTGATAAAACGTACTTTATTATCTGTCTTTTATATTAATATAGTTTTAGTTATTTTTACTTAAATTATTTTTGTTTTAAATATTTTTTTGTTTTATTCAGTGAAAATGATACATTTTATAATTGGTTTGTTTTTTATTTCTTTTGAAATTAATTTTTTAATTTTTTTTTAATTTTTATTTTAGTATTTTTTTACTA